TGACCTCCCTACTCGATAGGTCTACAAGTAGGAGGTCATCCCCATTAGCTGGATGGAATCAACCACGATGACAATATGCAGTTGGGGCAGCCGCGCTAACTGAGCTAACCGCAGTGGTATCAGCTTAACGCCGATGGTGATACAAGTGCTATCCTCAATTTTCGTTTGTTGCATCAATGTGGAATGGAAATCCCGGATTAAGGAAAATCAATTCGGTTTCCACCTAGTGCAGGGCTGTATAAGCCACATATTTTTTCTACGGCTGGTGTTAGAACAGCGCCACACGTACAGCAGACCGACGATAACTGAGTTCCTTGATTTCAACTGTGTTCGACAAAGTCTATATCTCCATCTACTTCCACACAAGTGTTTGAAAGGGAGTTCCCATCACCTCTTTAAGTATCCTTCTTGCCCTGTATTCTGACACATGTTAGCAAATACCGTGAATTTGAATAGAAGAATGAGAAGACACATGTTGCAAGATGGCACGATTTCGTGCCCTCTGTTCACTTGCAAACGGTCAACATATCAAATGATAAAGTGACAAAAGATCAATAAGTTGAAATCTATAGGTCACGTGCAAGTGATGTAAATGGTGGCTACAGCTTGTGTGGTATTACTAACTCCAAAGGAGTTTGAGTGTAACGAACAGTTGCTTCTGGACGCAGTGTTGGTGAGCACATTCCGAAGCGTGTCGTTACCTTGACAAGGCAGCGGCAAAGCTTACCTGTGTCGACGAACAAAATATTTGCCTCATCGATTCATCATCATCATCATCATTATACATGTCAGCTAGAGATGGTAAAACACCTCCGCTATTGTACCGCAATACATAAAGGAAATACATACATACATACAATACATAAAGGAAAAATAAATACGACAGTTGAATGCCAGCTGAGCTACCAGCAACGGATACGCATCGTTCCGGTAAGCTACTAGCCGGCTACTAGGCAAAAACAAAAATTTAATTACGTTTTACCCTACGAAATAAGATCGTAGATGGAGGGGGAGGCTAAAGGGATGGGGAGGGACAAAGAAACTCACAGCAGGAACGCCACTGAGGTCGGCTCCTTGCCATATCAGCAAGTGTATCCAGCCAAACGTGTTCACCGTCTTTTGGACCCCAACCAGGGAGCCGTGAAGCTCCAACTGAGGCCAGCTCCGAAGTGAGGGACTTCATTCCTCTGGACCAAGTCATCGCTTGGCCACCTCTCCTCTTCTTCCACCCACATCCCCGGTGAGCAAACAACGCATGTCGAGGGAGTCGGTGGGCTGGCATGCGCAACATGTGGCCGAGCCATCGGAGCCTGGTGAGTGAAATGACGGTGCTGAGCGGTTCATTCCCTTTTCCTAGGCCGTAAACAAGGCGTCGAACACGCTCGTTACTCACGCGGTGTTCCCACCAGATGTGAGCCAAACTGCGAAGGCACCGATGGTCGAACGTAAGTAGCCTCTTCATGTCCGCCGATCTTAGGGGCCAGGCTTCGCAACCGTACAGTAAGGTCGAACGTACCGCTGCATTGTACACTCTACCCTTCAGGGCGAGAGTAATGTCGCGCCGTCGCCATAGGTGGCGAAGGTTAGCAAAAGCACTTCGAGCTTTCGCTATGCGGTTCGTGATCTCATCGATTGCGAAACACCTGATGGAAACGGGTCATCCGGTCGACCCCAACTCGGCATTTACTGTCGTCTATCTAACACAAACGCCAGCGTCCCTAAGTTTGCCGACGCAGTGGCCATAAAAAGCATCGTCCAACACTGTGTGCCCAGAAGTAACTGTTCGTTACGCTCAAACTCCCTTGGAGTTAGTAATACCTCCTCAACCTTTAGTCACCGTTCACTAGGCTTGCATGTGACATTCCGATATCAACTAGTTGATATTTTATCACGTTATCATTTGATAGGTTGCGCGTTTGCAAGTGAACAGAGGGCACGAAATGGTACCATCTTGCAACAAGCGTCTTCTTATTGTTATATTCAAGTTAATACAGGGAACGTAATGCTACAAATACCGTGAATTGTCTGACACCTTCCCTACAACAAGTGCCGCGAGTCAGATTCGTTCAACATAACCATTTTGGTTCGAATTTATCGAGTGTTCTTTTCAGGAATCACACGAGGAGGAAACTCCGTAGGTGCGGATTGTGCGGACGATATCTTATTGCTGTAACGAGTGTGTGGCGGCTTACTCAACCCTGTAGTACCCCACTCCAGTTGTTGCGCTTTGCGTCTTCAACGTGCAACGTGCTGTTACAGGAACCCCAACCACTCGATGACTCTTTGATGCCTCACGACGAGAGGTTCAAATCGGTTGATGAAATGACCTACCTTGACAGCTGAATTGTATTCTCAACAGTCTATTAGCTAGACAAAGAGCCAGCTGAATCAGCAGCGATGTACGTGTGGCTGTTGTAGTTGGTTCACCTATCGCGAAAGCTTGACTCATCTAGGATCTGCGACATCTGTGGCGTCAGAAATAGATTTCCCTAGGTCTGAAAGGTCGTCTTTACAAGGCAACAGTTAGGGTCATCCAACGCTTTGGGAATTCGACTTAACCCCTTCGGTCTTAGTATCAGGATGGCACTCACGTTTTTGATAATCGCTGTCTGCGGAACATTGCTGTTGTCGGATGGCCCCTGCGTGTCCGCAACATTGATGTGCGTAGGTGAGTGGTAATCAGGCTAGCACGTCAGAACAACAGGTAACACTCAATAAGTTGCGTTAGCTTGTGCACGTGCTAAGGATACCCGGTCACCGCTTACCGAGGAATGCCTTGTTTTGTTTGCCAGTTGTATGGTCAAGCAAAGCTCGAGGTGGGCACAAGTTAAATTGACAGCGGGAAAAGAAGTCACTGACAACCGAACAGGGTGCTGTTAGTCCGTCTCGCCTTCCGGGCTGGATACTACGTGACCGGCCTTTTGGTTGGCCAGAGACTTTACAGGATGTGGCTCGCAGACTGCCGCGGTAGCACCTCCGTTGTTCGCACCTTGTCGGATTGTCTGTGTAAGTTCTGTTTGGTGCTGAGTTATCTGTGAGGTTATGGCTCACTATGACGCGCAGCAATGGAAGCCGCAAGTAAACTGCCTAACCGATGGCTCCTCATCCTTACATACCAGCTTGCATTAGTGTGAAACGGTCTGTGATCTAGGCAGACGATACTCTTCAAACTTCAATTTCTTAGAGTAAGTTGGGTATCAAATAGCACACGCAAAACAATATACAGCTAACATATACCATAAAATCCAAACACTCTCTGCCGGAATAGAGCCGGTTGCAATACTCACCGTTCCAGTCCCTAAATACTACAGCAGCATTTGTGGGAACATGCGTATGGGTGAGAGAAAAGCTCTGAAAAACCTGCAAAGATCATCCACTAAATGCTTGTTCAACAAATCCTCCAGCTTGAGCTATCAGGAACGTTGCCAGCAGCTTAAGCTCGATCCCCTTTGGTTGAGACGACTGAACCAAAACCTGATGTTGATACACGATCTCGTAAACCAATAAACATACTCCAATCTAAGCACGCTTAAATTGCAACATAATGTCACTCGGAAACCGAGCAACAGGATTTGTACACTAACTATGCGAACAACCGGGACAGCTATTCGATCCAATTTCTTCCTCAGCAGATACGCTGTCGTGTGGAATAGCCTTTCAGCCGCTATTAGGTCTTGCACAAAGGCAAGAACATTTTTGCATTCAACTTCCGGGGTGGACCAAGAAATATCTAATCGGTGCGAAAATATGTTACACAAGCGCAACAACAACAAAAATCATGTGACTCAAAACGCTTTAATGTCACACGCCCCAAAATACCTAACTCACTCATGCATGAGTATGATCATTACTGTACTCATGCTCAGGCCCTAATTCAGGGACAACTTCTCGCGCTGCTGAGAAATATACGTATTATTATTATTATTATTATTATTATTATTATTATGTTGCTATTGTTGTTGTTGACACAGGGTGTAGGCGCCTTGACACTTAATGTTTACCTAGGGCACTAATGTTTCAACCTAGATCCTTTTCTTGCCCTGATATGATTCCTCACTCCCTACACCATGTGTTTGTATAGTGGCGGAGCATCAGTTCTAATGACTGAAGTAGGACTGTTGTTGATTATGATGAATTTTGTCTCGTTTAACACAGCTTTTGTGTCATATATGCACGCTGCCATTTTTTCATTGACCTCGCTGAAAGTTTTTGTCGCTTGTTCACAGGCAAAAGAGATGATAGGTGCTTCGTCATCCGACAGTACTTTATCGACAAAATAGAATCTCGTCTTCTCTCAACAAGAATGTTGGCCCTCATGCCGCTCTCAGCTTCTAACATTGGTGGGGATTATACAACCCTAAAGTGTGTCTATAACGTAGCAAAAATCTAGAAGATTGTGATGGTAGAACTAATTTACGGCTGCTGAGCATATTACCTAAGTTGATCGATAGAATACAAGCACCCTAAACGTTAGAGGCTTCCTGACTGCGTCTATGTAGAACTCATCCATGTGCATTTAGATGTTTAGAGGGATGGATATTAATGCTCAAATCGTTGTAATTTCACACTACCCCGGATGTGCTTTGTTTATGATTATTAGATGGCGTGCAATTGAAAAAAACGCAGAGCATTTTCACGAATCGGTTCGAATACTTAGAGGCTCTTATTTAGCTGATCCAAAAGTGTATGGGGGTTTTAACTTATAAAGTATGCGCCCATGCCATAAGAATACATCAGCGGACATGAGTGCCGGCACGCGTGTTTGTGTGCATGCTGAATTAAATCAGGCACTCAATCGGTGTAGTTGCTAAAGTCAGTTGTTTAGCTATTGAAGACCCTTGGGACCTCTGATTGCAAAACCTAAGAATCTAAAACCATCGGAAGTTTTTCTATTAACTCGCAATTTTAACACGCATCCAAGCGTTCCGTCACATTGATCACAAAATGAGAAGAAAGAAATTAATTGCTGTATGACAAACCATGACTTCTTTTCAATTTAGGCGATTTATTACCTGCGGATGGAGTGATCATCCAGAGCAATGACTTGAAGGTGGATGAAAGTTCTCTAACTGGGGAACCAGATCACGTGAAAAAAGGGGAGACGATCGATCCTATGCTTTTATCCGGTAAGTGAATCAATGTGGGCAGCTTTGTGGACGATGCGGAATGATACACATCTTAGCATCGGTGACTACGATGCGGTTGCTAGCGGGGAATTGGATAATGTTCCCCACAGCTAAGCACTTCAGTCAAAATAAACGGAACATCCTTCACATTAATTCGATATACTCTGACGGATTGCATAAATCAGTGTGGTGGGGCAAGTCATATTGCAGTAAGAATCCACGGAATTCCGTGATGAGTGTCACATGGGGTGTTAATCCGTGTATTTCATTTCATTGGGAGCAACTGAATATATACCGCAGTTCGTCAACCGGTTGAAAACAAAACCATCTCTCAGCCAGGTTACCTTGAAGATTTTGTCACTTAGCCATTGCCCAACTATAATTTAATTGTTCTCCTTGTTTATCGACATTTCTGCCACTTGCACTGTATTAAGCCTAATGAGAGCAAAAGGCATTTTGACTCTAAGGAACAGCCTTGACTGGAATATATGTACCTATGTGCATATTGAGTCCATTAAATTGCTCAAATACATAAAGATGGCTCTTTACTTCAAAAATGGGTTATGCACTTACAGTGTGCGTTGGAAAATAGCCCGCAGGAGTTCCATTCTAGACTGAGCGTACTTTATATTAGATAGATTATAGATTATAGGTTAGATAGATTATATTAGACAGAACTGTAGCTTGTTTTCCTTGTTCACTCAGTTACTAAGGCACTAAACTCGTCGTTGCAAAGGGGATCAGTTATTACCTCGCTTCACCAATGCTACAACTTTAAAACCACTGCTGACATTGTTGGCAGGAACGCTGGTGCTACCTGTCGTTCTAACTATAGGCAAGGCTGAAGTAGTTCAGCGGACAGTTTGTGTTGCGAGCCCAGAGTTGAATCAAAACAGTTCGAAATATACGTTTTGCATCTAGCAATGAATGGAAAACAGTTACTTCACTTGTTCACTTAACAATAAGATGACAGTGGTGTGTTGTGTCTCGAGATGAATCAAACGTAACGTGCACATCGGGTGTTGCCTGCTTGCACTCTACTGCACGTTGCTACTTAATTTCACTTATCAAGCGGAGACAGCTGGAATGCAACTCGAACCCAAGGCATTCGGTGTAGCAGCCGATAACTCTACCCCTATGCCACGGAGTTGTGACGCGCTACGCCGGTCACAACGGTTGGTGACTGACTGGTGAAGTCAGTTTGAGGCACATGATGAAGATAGATTCCATTCTGAAAGCATTTTTTGCTGCACGTACCTTGACTCGATTTCGACTTACCTTCATACAATTGCAGCAGTGTTGTGGATCATCGCGCTGCTGCTTGACGAGGAACTTTCCTCTAGACCAACGTTTTCCATTAAGGTAAACATTTCAGAAGACTCCAGATGAGTTCCCTCCATTTTTATCCAGTAGTCCGGCGTAGTCCAAAGTCTTCTTCCTGAACATCAGGTATGACAGGACTTTGCAAAGCAACTTGTCCAGTAAATGTAGCTCTAATGAACCTCTCATCCGTGGGCTGTAATTTTAGTACTTGGATGAACACAGTATTTACTCCATCGAATGTGGTTATTATTTGTTCACACCTAGTTCTCACACTTCACCGCGTTAACACTTCCTCCTAGTCACCCAGTGCCCGATTGGCTCGTTTTCCTGGGAATTTTCTTGTATAACCTGCACAAGCACGTTCAGAAACGGACTAATTTGTTGCCTACTTGCGTTACTGATTATTGCATAATAGAATTAAGCCACCGAAAACCACTTTTAAACAGCTTATCCAAGACGATATGTACCTGTCTTGACGGAATGCAAATATTCAAACAATCTTCCATCCAATATTGTTATATCGATAGTACTTTCCGGTAGGCCATTGTGAATGTGTCCTTTCATGATCCTCGGCGGCCATTTTGTCCACCAAGAAAACGGAGTCACAATTGCCAAGCAGATGTAGCGCAGAGAATAGCGCTAGTTTATATTCCTGGTAACTTCGTACTCTCTAGTGGTTAATTCCATTTCGTAGAAGGCCAGTTACGCATATAAACCGGTACGCTTTTAACGCTTCGACTAGGACACGTACTAATTGTCCCGTCCATATCTGTACTTCAACTATTGGTTGCTTGTCTTAGACGTGAACATTTGATCTCAAGAGTAGTGCGTAGTGCATTTGTCGCAGGGCTACCACGGCCCACGATGACATAAATAACAGCAGTTGACCGTCTGGTTTGATACACATTGAGTTGGGATTAGGCAAATCACCACGATATAATCCATTCCGAGATTACCACTAATCAAAAGTGCTTAGCTCACTGAATAACCAATTTTGTTCCGCTCTGCAGTCCATTGTTCTGTGTTTTTCAACTTTCATTTCGAATGCTAAAAGTTATGGATGTGTTACTGGCTCGCTTTGACCATTATTGATCATAGTGTCTTTTCCCAACATCTATCACGGAAACATTTCTGGGATTTCGATTTTATACTCGCATAAACTTAATCAGTGATAGCGGTTTGTTCGAACTAAACAATCATCAAGAAATGGAAGAGACTTAGGCGGTGTTAGTGTGCGTACAGAGGTCACCATTCTAGCAAGGTTTAGGGCTTCAGTCAGGGTGGTTCATTTTTCGAAGCCTCAGTGACCGGTTTCTCACTGAGCACTGAAAAGTGAAATTGTGAGGAATATTTTACAAAATTCAGGAGCCAGCGGTACTTAAGTTACCTAATCTATATTCCATATTGTTTGTAATGGCGTTGTGTTTCGTTGCAAAGAACCTGGCAGCCACGAACTTTTACGCAGTTCCAGACAAGGCCGTTATGCGCGCGAATTTACTCAGCAGCTACACAAAATTACTAAAGCAAGCATAGCCGGGCTTCATTGGAACCTTTTAAAGTAGATAAAGTGTATATTTCGCGTGGTACTGGGAAGCCATCCCCATGGAGGGAGTGGATTATATTTACATCAGAAACAAACGCATGTATGCGAAAAGGTCTCTGGTCGAACCGGCATTTTACAAATGTGAGACGCGACAAAGCGGTTAGCTTGGATCCATGTACTGAAGTTATCTGTGAGAATAATTTAGTCCCTCCTTCGGTATCAATACCGAGCAGCTTTTTATAGAATAAGTCAAACAAATCCCAAAGAAGAACCAAATTTCAATGATTAATTTCATAGGGCTGTCCTTCAGATTTCGTTTTGATGGCCACTTGTAGGACCATTATTCCTAGTTACGCCGACACAATAGAAGTTTTTCTGATAATTCATCTAAAAATCGAAGCTAGCCGCACTCCGTCGGGACGTTAAACACTTTACCCTGATGTAGCAGTTGTCAGTCTCATAATTCTAACCTCCTTAACATCCACAATGGTGCCATAAAATCAGTGTGCTTCCTTGTTAGTCAAGCGGTTCCAGAAGTCAAAACTGCTAGTCAAATCCATTCCAGTCGGGTAATAGCTGTATGCGCTCAGAAATGATAAGTATTCAACCGTAACACACGTCTTTGACATTGTAACCTATAGTGCTCACTGTAAGCTAATATTAAACAATGTTTTGATAAAAAACCGATACTAATATAATCGCAGTGGAAGATTATCAGTTGCTTCTTGAGCGATCAAGTTCTGATCCAGAAAACTTGCACTAGATGAGGAACGGGTACGAAGGTAACCACAGCTGGATTTCTGCATTCGTCTGATCAATGAGCTTGACCCAGATCAAATGGTGACCCGTAAATACGGTGATTTGCATCCGTGAGTTCCTCTGAAGCATGCTTTTTGAAAGGGCATACGATCTATCGACAGAGGTCAGTTTTGGCAGGCCACCACATTTGGACAGTTGTTTTAGTGTCCCAAGGCACACTTTAAAATGCATACCTAGTACATTATGAAGTGGAATCGAAATGCGGTATGTCCCTTGGTGCGGCATATAGGTAGTTGAAATCGCAGTATTTAGTGGTGCGACAATACGCAGGATATCAGTTGAAAATCCATTGGACGTCAACTCCCTGACTTTTGTGTATGTTACGTCCATATGAATGGACTAGGATTAATCTGGGCTGAGTGGGACAAGTAAATATTTCACAGACATTAAGGAATGCAACCGTTCACTATGGGTATGTAGTTGAGTGCACTTGGTGAGCTGTTGATGGCAAATTTGCATAACGAGAAAGGAACGTCATTACGTTTTAATATGTCAAACTACAGCTTACGACCTCGGGACCACAACACAAGATTTTACAAAAGCGCTATTAAGCTGACTGCTAGCGCCGTGGTCGGACTATCGATGCCCGAGATTAAATGCTGCGCATATTTTATAAGATCTATTTCTCCGGGGCAGCAAATGATCCTATGTGAAAGAACAAGAAGTAGGGTAACAGCATAGCCCCTTAATGAACACCGAAACACGTGGAGAGCGACGAAGAGATTTTAGCACCGATTCGAGTACGCTGGAGGCGTCTGGCGGCAAGTCTCACTAAAGGAAGATTACATAATACTTAATCGCAGCGTCAGGTAGACCACTCAGCCTCTTGGAAAGCAAGTTAATCATACGTCCTTCCCAAATGTTTATTAAAGACAATTAACTTGTACCGGAACTGATGGAAGTCGCGTGTTTCCCGCCCGAAAACACTGCATAACCACGACGCGTTTCGATGTCATTTCACCGCATCAGGTGGAGATAGCAGGCCCCGAACCATTGGAATAGTAGCCGGAATTTCTGCCCCTTTGGTTACCCGGTCAGGGCGGGAAACGCTTGTCACGACGGTGAATGACTAAGTACAGGGTCAACATTGGATTACACGTTGTGTGATTGGATCGCGACGCGCAATCTCCACGTGGACCGCGATTCACATTGAAATGAAACTTGGTCACTGTGAGCATTAGGACCGTAACGGAAGCAGATGGAAATTGGGTGTTAGCCGTCCAAAAACACTGCACTACTATGAAGCGTTTCGAGGTTATTGCATCTCATCAGATAGTCAGCAGGCATCGAACCCGGGACCATTGGGATGTTAGTT